AAAAATAATTAATAAATACTTAAATTGACAAACAAACAACAACAAAAAAAAATCACAAGAAACCAAGGCTGAAAGAGAGAAAACTTCCCTCTACAAAGACGGAGATGCTCGATGACACGATTAACCTCCTCCTTTTTCTCCACACCGGATCTGCGGCAGTTTTTCCTCAACACGTCCGCCGCGCGGGTCAACAAATCAAAGCGATGTCTGACATATGGCTGCACCCGGAATCCGTCTCGTTGTTATAAAAATTGGTGGTTTGCCCAGCTCAAACAAGTGGTGGGTGGGAGGGAGGGGAGAGCTATGACTGATATCAATAGGACGCTACCTCAAAAAGGGTGGAGGGGGGGAGGGGAGGGGAGGGGAGCGGGAGAAAGGGGGGAAGAGGGTGGGGAGGGGAGGGTGGAGGCAGGGGTAGGGGGGTTGGGAGGAGGGAGCATCCCCAAATTTTACATCCTGACCCGGATCTGCCTCCGTGAGGAATGGGGAACCTGTTTCTTCTATTCTTCTTTTAGATTACGTTTTGTCTTGCAGTTTCACTTCTTACCCCTCGATGTTCTCCCAGATTACTCAAGTGGCCTCAACAGCAAGCTCTATGCGCTTCACAATCTATACTATTACCCCAGCAGACCCGAGAGCATTCTGAAACAAACTCAACGTCCTGGGAAGCATACAATGCTAGCAGCCATTTATAGGCGCCAAAACACTAACATACAGACAAGATCTTTCGCTCTCTATGCAGGGTACCCATTTCCACCTTTGTGAAGTGAGGAAAATTCGTGTAAAGTGCCTTTCCCAAGGACACAACGTCGGACCCGCGGCTCGAACCCCCGAATTCGCAACCTCACGATTACTAGTCCGGTAACCTAACCACTAGACCACCGAAAACCTCACGATTACGATTCCAGTAGCTTAACCACTAGAACACCGACAACCTCACGATTACGAGTCCGGTAGCCTTACCACTAGACCACCGACGCCTATGTTTTATTGTGAGTCAGAGAACACACTAGTGACTCATTCGTCTCTCTAGAAATGCACACTCTGGCATGGTGGAAGCGAAGAGGATGTAAATCACCCCGCTATTTTTTTCGTCAGTTTCATCTATTTTTTCCCAAGATTCTCCCCAAACGTCTTCACCGATCTCCTGCTCGACAATTTCCTGGCTGTCAGACACGCCAGAAGATATTCGGAGACGTCTCCGGCGAGCACCCAGGAACTATTCGGAGACATACTCCCGCACACAGATGCACTGCTTTGTGGGTCAAACTGCGTATCGTTTGCTGCAGATCACACGTACATCTATAGACACTAAAACTGTCGCAAATCAATTATTTTCAGGAACATTTCAAACCTATATTTTAAAATATCAAAATATTCTTTTAAAACAATGGGGCCAGGCCCCCCTCCCCCCACCCTCTCCCCCCAACCGAGCATGCTCTCCTTTAACCTCCCCATTTTGTTTAACTTGGTCAAGGGACACAAAACATTTTGATTGGTCTATCTCCGTCGGAGACGTCTCCGGATAGATACGACTGTCAAAAGTCGACTGGAAGAACTCAGTGCCGACGTTCAAGGATCTGACGACAGCGAGACTGAAGACAAAGTAGGGTGATCAGGAGGGGGGAGGGGCGAGAGAAGGGGTAGCCAGACGTGAACTCATGCATTTCTGACTTGTGTGATCATCATAATGTTTCTTTTCCTGACTGGTGTGCCGTCTCTTCTTTCTCTCCGCATGAGCCAAGGAAAAGTCTTCACGTGATGTCTTATCGCGTTCTCTTCGTCTCAGGGAATAGATTTTACAGTCTCTCTCTCTCTCTCTCTCTCTCTCTCTCTCTCTCTCTCTCTCTCTCTCTCTCTCTTTTCTCTCTCTTATCTTCTCTCTCTCTCACTCTCTCAATTACTT